AGGTGAGCCCTTGGTGGCATGCCATGTCCTAATATACTTGAATAAAAACATCACAACTTCCAAGATAGGGACTTTAAGTTAAAAAAAAAAAAAAAAAAAATGAACTAATTAATATTGCAATTGATGGTCAAGTAGTAACAGAAAAAATATTGATTGGTAGTGAACTCGCAAGACTTTTAAAATATAAGTTTATTGATACTGGCCTATTCTATCACTATTTTGCTACAACATATTATAATCACCATGTAGATAATTTAAGTAATAAAATAATTAAATTTGATATCACTATTGATAATTTAGAAAAAATTAATCAACTTAATGATAAAGAATATTTACAAATTGGAACTTGAGCAGCAGAAATAGCAAAAGTTGATGGTGTTAGAGAAGCAATTAATATTAAAATCAATCAATTAGTTAATGGAAAAGGATTTGTTGTAGTTGGATGTGATGTGACAACTAAAATTCTTTCTGATGCAGAAATAAAAATTGTACTCAGTACTGATATTAAAACTCAAGTATTTCGTAGAATAAATTAGTTAGGATATGAGAATGATTTTGCATTAATTTTTGATGATTTAATGCAATATGATTTTAAGTTATATGATTTAATTCAAAAAGCAAAACAAATTTCTACAATTATCGACATGAAAAATTTATCACTTGATCAAGTTATTCCAAAAATTTTAAAAATAGTTATTTATCATTCTTTACAATATAGTAAAATTATTCAATCATTTTTATTATTTATTCTTATTTTAGTTTGTTTTTTATTTGAAAAATATGTATTTATCTAATTAGTATTTATTTACTGATTAGATTTTTATTTACATAATCTTTTCTTTTTAAATAAGATATTTATATAATATAAATTTAATATGACTAAAGTTAACTTAAATTATCCTATTTGGACTTATTTTGCTTCTAATGATATTACTAAAACTTATGTTTGTTTACAATGTGAAAATGAACATTCTTATTCTATATCAACAAATGAATCAATATTAAAAAATCATTTTATAATTAAACATTCAGAAATTTGGAATCTTATTAAAAAAAATAAGAGAAAATATAAGAAAAAAACTAAACAACTTACTTTTCATCAAAAAGTTTCATCTCCTATTAAAGCACCTTATAAGTCTGTAGTTCAATTTCAAGATCAATTGAATGAAGATAATCAAATTTCAATTCATGAAAATACTAGTAGTATTCATTCAGTTAATACTTTTAGTATTATTAATAATATTAAAAGTATTGAAGTTAATAATAGTAAAAAAATTGAATTTGAATTTAAATATAACAAAATTTTAGTTGCTGAAAAATGTAAAATCAATTTCAAATAATTTATTTTAATTTTATTTTATATGTTTATGATATGTATAAGATTTTAAGCTATAATATTTAATTAGTAAATTTCACTGATTAGATATTATTTATATAACTTTATAAAGTATACAATTTGAAAATATCTAAAAGAATATGTCAACAAAAAGATAGTGAAGAAAAAGTTGTTGAAGAAACTTCTCTTTATAAAATTCCAAAATTTTCTGATAAAATATATGAATTTTATTTAAAACAAAAAAATTAGATGCTTCAAAAAGATTTAGACAAAAGTCTTTTGAATTAGCTTTTCCTGATTTAGATGAATGTTTAGAATTTATGAAAAATTTATTTTGTTATTATGAAGTAATTGAAAAAGAATATGATGATATTGATAAAATTATTCCTCTTGATCGAAATTATGCATTTTATTTTAAAATGCAAGATTGGAAATCAAAAGTATTGTCTGGACCATTAAATGGTGCCAGTAATGATGTTACTAACTTAAAAAAATTAATTAAAAAGTTAGAAAGAGAAAAAAAATTATTTGGTTAATTTTTTTATATTTATCATACACATATTATTATTATATTATTATATTATATTTTTTATTAAATTTATATATCTATCAAGTTTTTAAAACCTGATAGAATTTTATTGATGTAATTTCAAAAATGCATTATAAAAATAATTTACAAGAATTTTCTTATTTTATATGCAAAGATGAATATAATTTTTCAACTGAAAATATAACAATATGTAAAAATCAAATATTAGTATGAAGTTTACATATTAAAAATATACAACCATAAAAATATATTTTTAAACATTCATATCAAAAAAAAATTAAATTGTTATATTGTGAGAAATGTAATACATTTCGAAAAACAAAATTTTGTACTAAATGTAAAAACAAATTATACAATATACAAGATTTTGATATTGAATCGATTCATTCTGAACTATGTTCAGTTTCTTCAAAATCATCATATATTTAAGATGATGGATTTGTTGTTCTTGATAAAAAATGTTCAAATTGTAAAGAAAAAAAATGTATTTGTGTTAGATTAAATAATATTATATCAAATTATATCACTAAACAAAATGCATTTTTAAATAATAGTAATTTTGTCTTTGAGGATGAAGAATTATGAATGGATGATAGTGATGATTAATATATTAAATATTTATTTTTTTAATAAACATCTAACTAGTTTTTATAAACCAGTTAGATCTTTAACTATATAACTTTAACAATGACTTAAAATAATAATAACACAATTAATCTTTATCAAACTTATCTTAGTTTAAAAAAAAATTAAACTATATTCGATAGATATTTTTCAGATTTATCATTATACAAAGATACATTAAAAAAAATGAAAAAAATTGGATTTTCTGTTGATATACTTCTCACACAAGTTCGTTCAGAAATGGAAATTTACATAAATTTGTTGAATGACAGTAAAGATAGTATTAGTAAACTTAAAAAGAATATGCATAATTTCAGTCTTCTTATTATTGTTAATAAAGATAAAAAAGTTTGGATCAGTTAATGTATCAATCCATTTAAAGATTATTACAATAAATGGCAAGTAGTAGGCGATGATAAAAATTCAAATGAATCTTATATTGATTGTGCAATTCATGAAGCTAAGGAAGAAGTAGAAGTTGATATTAAATTAGAAAATTTAACAATAATTAGTACTATTAAGGGATTTCAAGTTTTTCCAGATTTTGAAAGGCAGCAAATATTATATTGTTAGTAATTTATTATACAATTACTAATCAAATTCTTCAACATACTGAAAAAGATAATCATTCTGAATGGATTTTAGTAGATTTAAAAAAATTATCAAAGTATAATATGACCAATTTTATTAAAGAACATATGTCAATGATATCAGAAGTAATTAATAAGAAATTTTGTGCTATTCATAATACTGAAAGTAAGAAACATAGTAATAAAAAATAAAAACTCTAACAAAGTGATGATCTAGAAAATTTAATAGTAAAAAATGGTGTTGTTAAAACAAAAAATAACAAAAAAAAACACATGAAGTAGACGAAAAAGTTACAGATGAAAGTAGTAGTAAAGATGAAAATATAGAATCTAGTTCAAATTAAATTATTTTATTATTATATTTTATTTATTTATTTATTTTTTTTTAACTCTTTGGCAGCCTTGCCAAGATCCTTTATTAAGAGAATTGCATACATAATTGTACAAATATTAGCTTAATTTTTTGGTTTGACATCCCCCGGCTACTGTATTAGTGCCTAGAGGCGACCTGCTGCACTAGAGTGAGTTAATGCTCACTACTAGAGGGCTATTCAGGCTAGCCTTTGAGGCCATTCC